GCACAGCATCTTGCAAAAATTTCAATTTCTGGATGGACATGAGATTACACTCTACCTCACTCCTAAGTAACTGCATGCTAAGAAGAGTATTAAAAATTGGAAGTCCTTTGAAAAAGCTATCCAAAAGCTACCTTACATGTCAGTCTTCAGACTGAGACTGTTAGAAATACTCAAATATTAGAAGTAACTAGAGTTAATTATGGAGGTACTCTCATTACCACTGGGTCAATAAAAACACGGCACTGTGTGTTAGGGCAGTAAAATATTAAAGACACACATGGACACATCAAAAGCATGGTTGGAACAAGAAATGCCCCTGAAACAGACTGTTCCACAACCACATTTGGCTGCCAGCAAACGAGTTTCATTTCTGAGTGTCTTAATCATAGGATTTATCTGGCAGCCTTTCAGAAGTGTTACTGAAATTACCTTTTTTTTCTTGTAAGCTAGGATTAGTATAATGCAAATACAGGTAAGTTGCCACAAGACAATACAGTATTTGTTAGGACTTCATCCAGATTTCTGGGAAAAGAAAGACAGTATTACTTAAACATTGATTCGGATGAACACCTGCAATAGTTACAAAGGACACAATAAATAGCACAGAAGTAGGATACAAATATTAACTGTGCCTCTATTTGTTACAGAACAGGAAGGAAAAAAGAAGGAAGGAAAGAATATAAAAGAAAAAACAAATGAAGGAAAAGAAGGAAAGAAGAATCAGGCTGTGTGCTGTCTGGGAAAATGTGACATGGGATCATGATGCAGAAACAACATTTTTAGACCCTAATGATAACGGTATCAAGGAGCAACTAGGTACGTGGTATGCGGAGGGGCAATAACCCTCACTGTGGTTCAAGCAATGCACACATGGGACCTGTTCCAAAATTTTAGCACTGAAGAACTGCATTGCAACAGTGACTATAGCTTGCTCTGCAGAAACAAAAAGTGTGCAAAACCCCCAGATCCACTGTACCTATGCTCAACAGAAAAAAAAACAAAACCAAACCAAAGTGAGGAAGCTGGTCAAAGCCAAAGGTGGAGAGGAGACCAAAAAGATTTTGACTGCTGAAAAATACCATTTTGGAGAGACAGAGCAAACTTATACCACCAATCAAGAATAACTTGAAGGGAAGCTGGTACAACTAACATCAGGAATAAAGCAAGTTTCTAGAAGTAATCCTTTGAAAAGCTGAAGTTGTGTCCAAATATATTAAATCCAAAAGAAAACAGATCATAAACATGAGATGACTGTCCAAATAGAATATGCACAAAAAAAATTTTTAAATGAGTAAGAAATTGTCCTTTACATGTATTGGAACAGCAAGTCAGTCAAAAGTCTGAACAGTAACAAGGCACCAGGTCCAAATGGCACTCAGCCCTAAGCTCCAGAGGACCTCGAGGACAAAACTGCTGAATTATTAACTCTGATGCACAGTATCTTAAAAAGAGCTTTGTGACTGAGGACATGAACTTTGGAGATACCTATTTTTGACGATTTGAGGGGAGATATGTCGATCTACAGGCTTGTTAAGTATGGTGCCTGTCATGACGCTAATCATAAGAAACTGTAGCAAAACATAGAATCAGTGGACACAGAGGCAAATATGATTTTTGGAGTGTCAGCACAGCTCTTGTACACTGTGAGTGTGCCAGAGTTCTCTGGAGGTATTCAAAAGCAAGTAGATAAGATTTAGTTGAAACTCTTCACATGGTTTTCTGAAAAACTTCTGACAAGATCTCTTGCTAAAGGATTTCAAGGAAAATAAGGATCAATGAAGTAAGAGGAAAGGCCTGTGTTTTGATAAGTAGCTGATTTAAACACAGGAAAAAGAATAGGACTAAATGGTCTCTTCACACACTAAAAAGAGATCTAAAGTGCACTCACAAACTGAACAATGTGTGCACACCTCAAAAAGAATCTGGTGGAACCAAGAAAGAAGCAAGGATGTGTGGAACAGTGGCTACAGGAGCAAGTTATTCTAGGAAAAGAGGCAAATGGGAGAGAAATCTAGTCAAGCTGTTAATGGCCATGATAGTCATAACGTCATACCAGGGTTTCATACTGGGTATCAAATGAGCACTATGGAGTATCCAGTGAAGCTGACACATAGCAAGTTCAAAGTAGTATAAGATGGCAGTTCCTCCATACCACATTTATATGTGGAAGTCTCTGCCACAGAGCATAGGGGACAAAACAAGTTAATGGAAGAGAAAGCCCCTCTGGCTTGCTTAGTCATACCCTAGCTGCAAAATGTTGGAGGCTGAGAAAGTACCCATAAGACCTGTGCTTGCCATGTTCTTAGGCAGACTTTCCTTGGTGGTCACTGCTGCAGGCTGGTTACTGGACTAAATAAACTCTTCATCTGACCCAGAAGAGCTGTTCTGTTCTTCTCACCATGGAGGTTTGTACAGATCTTTTATCAATGCTGACAGTCATCCTCAAGAGACCCTTCTGATGCACTATAGTGCCAAAAGGGTATGTCTGGTGATAAAAGGTACCTCTGATAATGGTAAGCCATTGAGCCAACTACATCTGATATTTTCTCTGGTAAGTGTATGTATTATAAATGTATAAATAAATCTTAATCCAATGTTCCCTAGTTTTCAAACTACCAAAATCAAATTTGGTTTTATCAGTAGTGCTTTTGCATCTCTGACAGGACACTGAAACTCACCACAGCAACTCCCTCCACACTTTGCAAAGAAAAAAAAAAATTGTTAACACTCTGTGTGGTAAATAATCTTAGCTAGAACTTATTGCTTGCTTTTATTACATTTTTGTTTTGTTCACTAACACCCAGGCTCTACTGTGTTAAAGTAGTGGTATGTCAGAAACCATTTAATTAAGAGCTTAAAGCGATTTTTTTTTTTTTTGGTCTTCAATGTGTATTTTTTAGTATCAATGACATTTTACTTGGTAGTTAATGGGAGCTTGTGTGGCTTTATTCCTCTTTACTGTTACAGATTGTCTCACCCTTCTCACAGGCCAAGTGAAGCCTCAGGACCTTTATGAAGACTTGGTCCATTTTCTTCTTACTCTTGTCAGTTTCCCATACGGGGTTAATCTCCTGGATCCTTTTGGTTCTTAGGCCTTCATTTTCCTCATCCATCTTCTTGAGTCCTTTGTGGTAGCATCCTCAGTTCTTCGCTTTTTTCAAAGCCAGTATTTAGCATTATCTCACATTACATTAGATAGATGCACATCACAAAATATATCTGCTAAAATGCTGCACCTTGTCTTTTTCTTTAATGTCCGTAAGATACTCCCTTGTGTGGAACCATGTGCCCCTACTGCCCTTCCACTGGGATGATGTACTCTCCTGTCTTAGAGCTCTTCTGTGCCTCATTTTTTTTCCATTAGCATACTCCTCCCACCCAGTTCCCTTTTCCTACTTCGAAGAAGGATCTTCTTCTTGAAGCCTGAAGTGCAAGGGCTCCTTCTGCTACCTGTTTGGCTCAGACTGGTGCTTTGGCCATAAGAGCGAGGCCAACCTGATCACTGATTCCGGGGATTGTAGAACTGCAAGACAGGTTAAATGTTTGAGACCTGCACTGCAATAATATCAACAAAGACAAAAAAGGAACTGACATCAGGCAGGTTGTGGGCCTCACAGATGTAGCCAATACATATCTAGACACATATATAGAATGCTGTTTGATTTAAAATAGCTAAACGCCATAATACAAACCCACCATCACCAACTGTATCATGAGCATAGAATTTCACAGGCTGCTTCCAGAAAACTGACAGAAATTACCATTTCCAAATATAAATTGCTGCCAAACACCTTGCTTTATGACATTCTATGCAGGTGTTGACCATGCAGCGTTTATGTCTATGAAAAATGTACAGTGGAGGATTTTCTTTGCACATAATCTGCTATTCAAGTGCTGTTTGCTTTCAATTCTTAACCAAAATCCTTTATTCGGCCTTGTTCTCTTTATCATCCATTGTTTTTCAAGTCCTTGCTCTCTGGCAAAAGTAAAAATTTCACCATGGTTTAATCATCCATTTTACAGCTCACTCACAGATTTTTGTTGATTCTTTACATTCTCAAAATTAAATGAATCCCGTCTTTTTTAAATGCTACTCTTGGAAGTTTTAGAGTACATCAAGAAATTTCTAAAAATTTTGAAATATATGATTTTTGTTGTTTTTCTAGAACAGTGTATGAACAGGAAAGGATCAGTGTACTGATATTTTCCATCTACCGAATGAATTGTCCTCAGGTATTTTATGCATATACACATCCTTAAAATTGAAATACTTCTTCCTGTAAGTGTTAAGAAAAAGCAAGCTTTCAACTCCAGTTTTTCTCTGTTGGATTATGTCACTGTGTTTTAGAGATGTGGTCTGCTAGAAAACAGATATGGGCACTCAGTTTGCTAGACAAGAGGGGAAAAATACACAAAACTGCTCATCATTAAGAAAAAAGATTTGGAACCAAAAGTACCAACCAAAATTTTTTTTTTTTTGAAATAAAGAGATGCCACTGCTTGACAGGACTAACGAAGGTCTGCTTGATGATTTTTAGCAAGAAGGTAAAATTGTTTTGGCAGCTGCTGCCCAACTCTCCTGCTATTCTGTAAGCTACTACCTCCACGTATAAGACAATAAAAATACATCATGAAAAAGTAACGGTGGATCCCTTTATAATTTCTTACTATGGAAGCAGAGGGATTTTACGTTATGTGAGGTTTCTTTTTCACTGCCTCAGAGCTAACCTCCCATGCTTTAATGCTTTAATTCTGCCACTTACGCTCCAGTAAGAGAGGGAAGGCAAAATGACTGCACTTTTAAAATCAATGAGCTATGTATATTTTTTGAGAAATAATACAATTTAAGAGAACAGGGACGAAGAGCTGCAACACAGGACACAAAAAAAGTCTTATTACTGACATTAGATCTATTAGGTAAGAAGAAAATTATTTTTAGAGCACGCTCCGAAGAGATCGGGAGCCTGGAAGATGAAAACGACGCTTCAAAGACCACCTACTTTTGCTCTCCTCTTTTTTTTCTCCTTCGAGGCACCCGTGGGCAAACTCCCCTGTGTACCCGCGGCACTGACGGGCCCACGC